CGGCGTTTCACTGTATAAGTTATAACAAAACACAAAAAGGGGTGTAGTTGTTACAGTACAAGATTCTTTTGAAGCCACCGGGAAATGATTCGGAAAAAAATTCGATTTATAGCATCATGTGTTTCTATTGGGGTAGACTAGGCGGAGCTATCAAGAGAGGAAGTCCTGTAACACTTGCCACAGTACAGGTGGGCGAACCTAATTGCTGTGCAGCTGGTCACTTCTACATGCAATGTAGCACGTGAACAATGATGGCTGGCTACAGTGATCTCTTGATACAACTAATGAGGCTTGGAGTTCCTTTATGTAACGAGAACTATAGATTCCTTTCAAGATAGAGCGTGCAGCAGGATACACATTGCTAATTATCTGTGGTGGCCGAATTGTGCGCAATGGTAGACATTGTTGGCGTGGAAGAAGCGTTGTTTCCAATTGTTCTGTCTTTATGTTTTCCGAAACGAGTTCTCACCAGGGTTCCTTTCTACAATTACGATGTGGCTATTGCCTTCGTCCACGATTATTCTGATTTACAAGTAGAGGTTGTTTTCTGTGTTGTCCTCGCAGTTATTTTAAACCTTCTTTTTTCTTTATTTGGCTTTAACACCTCCTTGGCACCGTACATTTCCCGAACATCATTGCATTGCACATAGGTGTACTTCTTTTTTTGTGTGTCTGTGCTTTCAACGGCTGTTGTTTAGAGTCAAATGTGTTGCATTTTTGTTGGTGTCACTGACGTCCACATTTTGGCCTTGCTGGTATCGCTATGGTAGTTTTGATAACATTCAATTTCAAACATGCTCTTGGCTTTTTTCTCGAAAGTTGATGTGGGGTCACTGAGTCCACGGTTCAGGGTGCAGGTGCCGAAAGTAGAGCAAATTTCGGAGCAGCCAATATTTAATTTTGGAGAAGCTTATGGGAAAAAATCATACATTTATTTATCATGAGATACCAAATTTGGGGCAATATAAATAAGAAGGCTTACATTTTGTAAAACAAACAAAAAATGTATAAACCATTCAACTTCACCTAAAGTGTACAGAGTGAACATGAGCACTGCTATTTCCATGAAAGTAGTATTTTGACCCACCGCACTGAGCAGAAAGTGATGAAGTCCATATTAGCATTTGCTGTGCCTGTCAAATCTCTTGACAGACGCTGTGAATTTAAATATGGATCTGCCAAGCTTGCAAGCTTAGAATTTGGGAGATTCATAAAATATGGGAATAGGCACAATTTAGTTTTCTTTGGGAAGCAGAAAAGTCATAAACTGCTCCATATGATATCAAGTAGCTTATTTAGACGTCAGTTATTATAATGGTATACTCACAATTTCGCGGCGTATAAACGCATGAGCAACCTAGCAAAATGTGCAGTGCCCCATGAATAGCGCAAACAGCCCCTTCTGAATCTCAATACGCTTTTCCGCTGGGCAACACTGTACTGCAGCAAAGGTAGCCCCAAAAGATACTGAACAAACTTTTTGTCGCCGACATTGTCAGCCACATCGATAGATTGGATCCTGATATCAATAGAGACAACCTTCGTTCCAAGCAAAAACTATGGGAAAATAACGAATTTTAAGCATTTTCCACAAACTGTTGCGTCTAGCGGCAGCGCCGTAAACCATGGATGTGACGTTGGGTGACGTCGAACTCACTGGAAGCTCGTAAGCCAACAATCCCAGCCATCGCCCGCATCTCTCGACTCGCTCATTTTCAATTCGGTTCCCAGAACAGGTATGAACAGCAACAGCAGCGAACAATGCTTCTGGCTGGGTCAAAGCGCAAGTACTTTTGTGGAAGGGAATGAGTAGAGTGAAAGGACAGCTGGAGAAATGGAAGTGGAGGAGAAGGACATGTGCATACTGCATGCGCGTCTGTGAGCTCGACGTCACTGCTCGCGAGCAGTCGCCGCGTGCTCGAAATTCACCGAAAATACAACCAACTGTTGAAAACTACGGGAAAGAAAATGCCGTTTATCGGAACAGGAGTATCTTAATTCCGAGTAGAATTTCGAAGTTAGTCAGTTTTTTTTTTTTTTTCAATTTTGTTCAGTATTCACTCAAGCAGCATTTTCTGTATGGGATAGAACCCAAGCCAAAAAATTTTCTAACCTCTATGTCTCCCCCCCCCCCTCATTTCCCACCATTTTTATTCTTTCGCTAGGGGGTTATGTGCCACTTCGACTCCCTTGCAAAGCGCGTTCGACCAGGTAAAATAGCAACGGCGTGCTCCCATTGGCCCGGTGACGATACTGAATGTCTATCGCCAGGACTGTGGCCGGGATGACGCAACTTCAAAAAAAAAATTAATGTGCCACTGCTAAGGCAATCAACGTGGTCGCTGGCAACGCCAGTGTTCGCAGCACGCCGAGCTTGTTTGCGCGAGAAAAACGCGGCATATGCTCCCAGCTTTAGTTCCTAACAAGTCTTAGCCGCAGTTTTAGGCTAAGAAATTTACATTTCCCTTGAAGCGTTGGTGGCTACAGCAATGCATTTTGTCTTGAAGTTCAGTCCTCCCGCCGATAGTTATCAGATACGGTCAACAGACCAATGGGCGCAACAGCGTTGTTGCTTTATCTGGTAATATTTGAAGTACATTCAAAGCACTATAAAGGTGGGATCTGTGCGCTTTGACGAATGGCGCAAACTGCATGTGGCCGATATGGCCTGCATTTCTCGCTGAAATTAGCACACCTGAGAAAATTCTGAGTCTGGCTGGGCATTTTGGTGCAGTGTGGTAAAATTTCAGCGAGTTTCACGGATTTGGTGCAGCTCGGTGCACCCCTGTCAGTGTGCTACTGTGATGACTTTATGGAATAAAAAACAGAGTGCCAAAATTATCAGTAAGTCCTGAAGTTTCCGCGAAGCTGTTCGATACTGGTGCTTCTGTCATGCGGCAATGTGCGGCATTTTATGTGCCGAGGCTTGTGCAGTAGCAGAGTGTTGGTGAGGGCTATAGCTCTGAGAGTAACACTGCAGAATTTTCTGATAAGTTCGAGGCTGGAACATGAGTGATTAGTTCATTTCGTAAAAAAGTTCATTGTCTTCCACGTGAAATGAACAGACGGAAGGTGATTACTTTCTTACTTTCTGGCTGAAAACAGGTGGACGTCATTTTGTTTCTACAAATGCGTAACATGGAGCGTATTCTAGCAGGTGTGTAAGAGTGGCATGATGTCAAACAGTGGTTGATATGAGGAGGCCTCAGCTGTCAGTCACATAAGAGAAAAAAGAAACGCAGGCTTAATAAGCTCAGGTGTGATGATGTCGGAGTGATAACAAGGAATTGTTTTCATTAACTACATCACACTGCACTAACAATCGGTGTTTGCCAGATGTGGATTAAGCAGTTAGACTCGGGTGGACTAGCGATTCATCCTCCAACAGTGCCTTGGCAATTTACATAAACTATATGGTAGCAAGCCGTGCCGTGATTTCTGGAAAGGGCCGTTATCATACCGGTTCCATTACCAAGATTACTTGAATACTATGCGTATGTCACATCGAATGCTTTTTACATCAGTATCATTTTGAGCACAATCTCTTATCAGGGGTTCATAACTATAATCACAATCATCGAAATCGTCATCATTTTTGTACCCTTGCTAGCACGCAGACCTTTTCGAAGCAATCCCTTATTATTCCAGCCTTGCTCCAAGTGATTTTAAGCCAGAGAATTTTCTCACTTCAACGTACTGTCTGGTTTTCTGGCATACTTGTCTAGGCTGTTCTCTTCTTGGCACCAATTCTGCCATTGCGACAGATGTACCATTATCTGTTCAGCACATTAGTACATCACCTTCTTTTTGTCCTCTGAACAATAGTGTACTATACTAGATACGCCTGTTTTCTCTCTGAACCACATAACCGTTTGCCCGTCTATAAACCTCTCACTTTTCACTCACTTGCTCATTATGGGGTCCCTAACATTATACTTCGCTTCATTATTTTTAAGTTTCTCTTCGCTTCATTATTTTTTAAGTTTCTGCTACATAGTTTAGTCCTCTTTTCTTTACAAATAGTATAGCAGTAATCTTTCTGTTATCAGTAGCACCTCCCGTGCATAGTTGTATCCAGTCTGTGTTTATTCCACAGCTTTACTTCTTATGATCTGGGTCTCCTTTCTCCGATTGGCACATTCTGTCACAGATTCTAGAGTGCTGACTGGCGATCCCACATCTTTGTTTTATCCCCAAGCTATGAAACATTGTCCTTGTGTTCGGCGGACTGATGTGCAATGGTGTCCTAGCACTTTCTTGGCAAATCTCTACGTCTAGAGGGGTCATCTCTGCAAACTGAAACAGCAGTTTAAACACATCCATGACTGCGTTGAAAAGGCAAATCGCTCCGAGGGGAGTTAGTTTATTATTGCTGTTTGTAGTTATAGTTGTTATCATGTAATGAGAAAAAATGTAATAGAGACATGGCCATAAGAAAAAAGGAAAACACAGACGCAAGCAAAAAAACGCCGACACAAACTCAGAGCTGGAGCCCAGCAAGCGCTGTGGCTCCAATGAATGTTTGCGTTATGCTCCCGCCTTGGGCCACCTTACGCCTTTTTTATTTTTATGTAAATGCGCTTTTGATGCCAGAGAGGACTAATTGCTTTTACCGAATTCGTATTTAACCTGAGGTCACATATGGAGTTGTGTAAGGCGTTGCTTGCCACATGGACCAAGGCAGAATTCACAGGTATGGGGGCCGAAGAGCACATGGATTACGAGCATGAAAATGCACTCGCTCACTTATACATGCAAACAGCTATGGATGTATATATTCGACAGAATAGGCATAATGCTCGCACAACTGTGCTATTCCTGCATCTTCAAACCACCTTTCCAAGAGGATGTGAAATAACCTATTATTTTGTGTCTTCTCTTTTGAATGTCATTATTTCACAAGCAAAGAACCATATTCGCATGTGTTGTTACAGATCGATGTAAAGCAATCGGAATCTGGTCACATGATTTATTCGTTTTGGATCGACATTCGTTCACAGGTGACGAGAAAGGATCACAGCCTGTACATGGCCCGGAATACAACGTGTACCTGACACCGATGCAGATCAGGACATTTCTCTTGACTTTCTCCTCAGACGACAAGAAGCACATGATTTGCTCAATTGATTAAAGCTTGAAGAGCGAGCAACACACCTTCGCTCTCTCATACAAACTCCTCGTCCAGCATCGTTATGACTGCTGAAGCATGACTTGCGACTCGGCTGTGTTAGAAAAAAAATGTCTATTATCAATAGTAAAACTCTTTTCAAGCTCTGTGCAAGTGTTCATAGCTGTTTTTACTTGAGAGGTTCAACGTTCTGTGATCATTGAGGGCATTATAAATATAATATATAGATAGGCAAAGAAACATTTGCATTCAGGGAAATAGAGTCTGTGTTGTTTACCAGGTGTCCTGAGTTTCTCTTGGCTTAAAAAAAGGACATGCAATGGGTAGTACAGTAAAAGGTTATTAGACATATATGCTGTGTTCGGCACATTGCCCACGTTTGTTACCAAATGTTTGTGCATATCTGATACGGCTAACTTGAAAACAAAGTTCAGAACAAAAAAAACAATGCATCAGCTACCATTAGGTAGTTCACGCTGCACAGAAAGCACGAACGTTTCAATATCTATTAAGACTCAACTGACTTAGAGGTTTAAAATAAGAGGGCAGATACCTAATAAAGTATGATAATTGTTCATATATTTTTTAGAGTAATGTTACTAACACGGTAATCGGAGCCTTCTCGTTGTCCATCGTTCGCTACCACAAAATTTGAGCCAGCACTGAAAACAATGCATTACTAGGTAACGGGGCCTACCTGCTGTAATAGTAAAGCAAGCTTTCCCTAACACATTACAAGGCTGAACAGCAGACCTCCCCAGCTTTGGAAAATGGAACACAGGTTTACGTATTTTTCATCACGCACACTGAGTGTCACTCCAACTGGTGTGAAAGAGAAATAATCTGCAAATTAGTCAACAGGGCTTGTTGATGAGCAAGTTTGTTCTATATACTAAAGAAACAGACACAGCGCCAAGAGTACAGGGACGAAGTAAAGAAACGATCTGACAGGTGTCCGTGTCTGTCGGTTTCCGCGCTTCGTCGCCGTACTCTTTGCACCATGTCGGTTTTTACGTGCAAATAAAATGCAACTCGAGAGAAGCACCAAAGATGCAGCGATGCCTCCAGTGGAAAAAGTGCCAGAAAACACGGACGCGTCTTGCAGTAGCCAAAGAACAAGGCAAAGGCAAATAAGGCGATTGCAATGAAAGCCTAAAAAAAACGCTGCCTAAGGCAGTTATTGCGCATGCGCATTGAAGAATGGCACCTAATGTCCTGAGTGAACTTCCCATTGTCGAATCTCGGCCACCGTCACAGCTGCAACAGCAGCAAGAGCTTAAGCAGCAGCAGCGGCTACGCCACTTTAGCAATTGCATACACAGCAGTACGAACCACTGCCAACCCCAGCAGAGACTTCAGCAGCAGGGGCTTTCATTGGGGCTGCCCCCAAATCAACATCCCCTATAAGACCCCATTGGATAAATTGGTTTACAAGTTACGGACTCGTCACTAACTTCAAGAAATGGAGCGCGTAATGTTGTGTGCCTAAGGTGTTCTGTGAATGGTGCATGACACTTTATTTTGATGAACAATGAATGTGGGCATGTGAGCCTTCATGAAACTGTGGATCTGACTGCTATATTAGAGTACCAGAAGTGAAGATAATGTGGCTGGGATGGCCATATGATCTAATGGGTATGAACATTGAGAGAGAATTAATAGTTGCTACTCTGAATATGAGGGGCATTTCTGAAACGACAGCAGCATCAATTAAGTCGATTGATGCTTGAGCTTGATCTACATGTTGTTGCCATTCAGGCAAAAAATTATGACAGGAAAGATAAAACTGATCACATAGTTTCTCTATTTAAGGTGCGGTGTAATGTATGTATGTCTTGCGCTGTTGGAATGTCTGTGGGTTGTGCACTGTTGTTTAGAAATTATATTGGTATAGAGGTAGAAGAAGCTTTAAGTGTGTCGAGCAGTAATTATAGGCTTACAGTATGTGATTTCGCATATTTTATAAAAAAACTGGTATGTTGTTTGTCTGCACTCACTCGCCAAAGAGGATGCAAGTAAAGATTTTTACGAGAGTCTGCAGTCTTTTGTTAGTTGCAACAGGGTTGTCATTATGCTCAGAGATTTTAATTGTGTTTGTGACTCTCAAGACAGCGTGAAGAACGCACCCATAAAATAGCGAAGTGCAATACCACCCGGCACAAATAATTGTGTAAGATTTTGATATTGAAGATGTAGTTGACGTCTTATCTGTAGGGGAGCACATTACACTGTTTCAGCATGAAAGCAACGCAAGACTTGACAGAACCTATGTGTGAGGTGTCTCGCACATGCTTGAATTGTGAAGTAAAAAGTATCCTTCAGCGACCGTAGTTTAGTGCTGTTCACTGTACTGTAGGGTATATACAACAAAAAAAATGAGTTTTAACTGGGTTGTATTAAAATAAATGACAAATTATTAAAACACTGATTGTTTGTGGATGCTGTGTTGAAGAGCATCAACAAAATGTTAGCTGAGTTCTATCTAAATGCACTTGTAGCGTGGGAGTCTTTTAAGCAGATAACAAAGATGCGAGCAATCGAAAGGTTGAGTGTACTGCATACACTGCATAGAAGTGAAGAGAAAAAAGAAAAAAAAAGTGCAATGCCAGTTAGTCTTTCCATTGAGTAGAAGGTAAGTTACCGAGAAAGTACTAAAAAAACAGTTGAAGAACTAATTGAAGGCAGTTAACATTTAAAAATACATAAGAACAAGGATAGGAGTGCATGCAGAAAAAATATTTCTCTGCGAAATGCCTACAAAGCATGCTCTTGGGGACGAAGAGAGATACTACGGCTAAGAGCGATGAAGATAAAAAAAATGACTAGTAGCAGATTTACATGTAAAGGTTGAGCGTTTGAGTGGTCATTTGTAAACTATTTTCACAGTACTTTGCTGGGTCTAGAAATGAAAACGGATATAGGGTTTGAGACTCAGTTCCTGCTTTTGATAACAAAGCTTTCGAATAAAACAATTGAAAATGCTGATTGATATTGCTGAAATAAAAAAGCTGTTGATTAGTTCACTGTTCGTAAAGCCCCTGCGACCAACGTATTGTGAGCAGCTATTTACAAGACATTTAAGAGGGTCTTACATCATAGCTTTCAGCTTCATTTCGATGTACATAATACCAATACTTCGTGAAAACCGTATAAAACTGTTGTCTGCCAAGTCGTACTGATCGGTTAGCTTAGCAAATGTAGATTTTAAAGTGTTCACGAAGGTGCTCGCCAGTGGTTTACAGTGGGTGATAAAAGTACTGGTTCAATAAAAATGTTCATGTAGCAAGGAGTGTGTTTGAGTGTTGCGATGTCCTCGACAGCAGAGTGGCAATGTTTCAATTAGATAGGGTAAAAGGCTTCGGTCGCGTGAATCGTGAATCTTTTTATACTAGAATGTACTGAAGTTGAACCTTCTATGCCAAAAGGTGTGAAAATGGCTTATAGAACGGGCTTTACGTGTATTGTGGTGGCCAATAGGTGCGTTAATGAAAGCTTTCAAGTGAGCAATATTGTGCGTCAGAGTGATCCCGTTTCATCGTTGTTAAGCGCAGTGTGAATATTATTAGCAACACAAGATAAAGGTCATATCAGCTGATCAAAAGCGAAGTGTAAGTGTTAATATATGCTAATGGCATAGCTTTGCTCTGTCGCAATAAAGGAAGTGTCAACGAAGTAATATGTGATGTGGTCTAGTCTTGCAAAGTGATATGTTGCGCAGTAAACTGGGATGAATGCCTAGGCTTGTAGCATGGTTCTTAGGAGACCACACCACAGAGCTTTAAAATAGGAATTAGTCAGTTGTAGTTACTAAGTATCCCATAATTTAGCCTTAGTGGGATACAAATGGTTATAGGAAGGAAGTAGCATTTAAAAGTGCATGAAAAGACTCAAAACTAGAAACCTAAGTGTGCTAGGAAACTTTCTAGGCTTTGTGGAGCGACTTCTGGTAATTGGTGAATTGTTTGTACAGTATGGTATGCACTGCAGTTCATGTCTATCTCTAGAATTGGTATAGTATGGTCCAGAGTCGCAGTTGGTATGGAAATGTAATAACTGGTCAAGTTTATTTCATTCTTCGATAACAGGGGGCATAGGATTTGCTCATCTGTTTCTAAAGCAAATAGAGTTTTCTCAGCTTTCTTGAGAATGTTTATGTAAATTGTAATTTGTGAAATGATTCTTGATTATGTAGTATTAAGTATGTCTGCCAAATGTGCTGGGATATTTGAGAGAACTAGTAACCACATACAAAATATTAAAGCTGTGGTTTTCAATAGAGTACTTATCTGCTGTAGTGAGAAAGCGTCTCTGTGGAAATGTATGGGATATTACGCAATATATCGTGTTGGTGCTTAACGTGACGTACTCAAGAAAGTAAAAATGATGAGAGTATGTGCAAGCGCGAGGACATTCCTCCTCCAGCTACGCAATGAAAATCGCTGGTAAGACAGTGGCTACAAGAATAGGGTTTCTTTGTTCGGTGGTCGACAGATTGACTTGTCTGCAAAGAACCCGAGACTATCAGCCACATTTTATTAAAGGGATACTGAACAAAATGTCTGCCGCCAATGATTTCAGTCAAATCGATAGATTGGAGCCTGAAATTGATGGAGACAAGTTTCATTCAAAACAGAAAATACGGGAAGATAATGAATTTATTCCGTTTTTCACAAACTGTCGCGTCTTGCGGCAGTGCCATGAACTAGAGAATGCGACGTTGGGTGACGTCAAACTCACCAGACACTGGCAAGTATACAATGCCAGCCATTGTTCGCCTCTCTCCACTCGATCTTCCACTTCGGTTTCAGAAACGGTATGAACAGTAACAGCAGCGAACAATGCTTCCGGCTTGGGCAAAGCACCAGCGCTTTTGTGGAAGGGGAAGAGTGGAGTGAAAGGATAGCTGAAGGAAAGGAAGAGGACAAGAACACGTGCGTCCTTCATGCGCCTCGGTGACTTTGACGTCACAGCTTGCGCTCGCGAGCAGCCGCACTCACAATCCATCAAAAATACAACCAACTGTTCAAAAATACGGAAAATAAACTCTGTATATCGGAAGAGTGGCACCTTCCGAGGAAAATTTGGAAGCTTCGTCAGTTCTTCCAAATTTTGTTCAGTATCCCTTTAACGCCGCGCCGTGGTGGTCTAGTGGC